AGGGTGCAGAAGCTAATCCAAGCATTTAAAACCATTTTTGACCCTTTTATGACACACTTAAATTTGCAAAAATTGACTTCGCAAAGCCATTGAAATGTATTGAGTCGGCTTCAATACATTCCAATGGAGGAAACACTGTATCGTTTAACAATGTTTCCTATGGGTTTTTTTGCTTAAGGACGCCAATCCGTGCCTATTGGAACGGATTAACCGGTTTCCAATGCATTCCTATGGGAAATGGTGTTTCACATAAATTTTTTTCGCATAAGGGGTGTTTTTTTTTGAACCAATTAAAAACGTTATGCGAGGGACGCCTGTATAGAGATAATGACCACTGGAGCTGCTGAGAGACATTAGAAATATCTGCTGCCTCTGTATCACAAAATTACACAACTGAAGCCTTGTGAAGAAAACAGAATAAAATAAAACCATTACTGTGGACATTAAGCATCTGCTTGAACCAAGTCTTCAAGAAAAGCATTTACTTTGTCTAAGAAAAGCCATCTGCCTTTGGGGGGTTGTTCAGCATATAGCAGGGGCCCTGATCTGCCGTCTTTGTCAATCTACTATTGGCTCACAGTGAGTAAAAGTCCTCCAAGGAACAGGGTGGAATAACCTGCCCTTTAAAGGTTTATGTTTGAAGTGTTTACCAGGACTAAGAAGTTTTCTATACAGCTGCTACTGGCTATAACTGTGAAACCCATATACCTTTGAGTGGAATTTTGTACCTGCAGAAGTAGAAGGGGATACTAAATAAGCTAAATTTGTGGAGTATAACTATGGTCCCTACTAGGACCAAAAAAACTTATGGCAAGATAAAAAAGGCTCCCAAAAAGCCAAACCAGAAATCAATAGCAGACTTCTGTGTGGCCTCAGATCTCATCAGCCAACGTGAATATGCTTCCTCTTATAATCAAAGGCCACTGGGGGTATTTATATCAAGTACTCCACTCACTACGGACAATGTAGGCATAAGTAATGGAGAGACATACCAGGAGGTTGAAGTTGAAATTCCACAGTCTGGAGAAGAAATCAGCAATTGGTCTCTGGACCCAGAACTCCTAGAGAAGGCTCTCTCTGCTTCTGTGGAGTCATTCTATAAACACCTAAATCTATCAACACCTGGACCCAAGGAGAACCATATGGAAGGAAAAATGGATGCAGGAGAACAGGCTGAGGCTGAACCCGGACAAGACAGAGGTACTAAGGGTGGGCGCCCCCACAGTCGGGAGCTTGGGAAACTCCCTCTCTTTTGGGGGGGTGACCCTTCCTGCTAAGGATGGGGTCTGCAGGTTGGGGATCCATCTTGACCCGGCGCTCACTATGGAATTCCAGGTGGTGTCGGTGGTCCGAACCGCCTTCTACCATCTTAGGCGGGTAGCCCAGCTGCGGCCCTATCTCGATGTTGGGGTGCTCACCACTTTGGTGCATGCGCTCGTAATCTCAAGATTAGACTACTGTAATGCGCTCTACGTGGGGTAAAAGTCCTCCAAGGAACAGGGTGCAATAACCTGCCTTTTAATGGCTTATGTTTAAAGTGTTTACCAGGGCTAAGAAGTTTTCTAAACAGCTGCTATTGACTGTAACTGTGCAACCCATATTCTTCTCCCTTTGAGTGGATGTTTATATCTGCAGAAGTAGAAGGGGACACTGAAAAAGCTAAATCTGTGGAGTTCAACCATGGTCACTACTAGGACCAAAAAAACCTGTGGCAAGACTTTAAAAAGCTCCCACAAAGCCAAACTAGAAATCAATAGCAGACTTCTGCTATTGGCCTCAGATCTCATCAGCCAACATGAATATGTTTCCTCTCATAATCAAAGGCCACTGAGGGAATTTACATCAAGTACCCAACTCAATACGGACAATGTAGGCATAAGTAATAGAGAGACATACCAGGAGGTTGCAGTCGAAATCCTGCAGTCTGGAGAAGTAATCGGCAATTGGTCTCTGGACCCAGAACTTCTAGAGAAGGCTCTTTCTATCTCTATGGAATCACTCTATAAGCACCTAAACCTATCAATAGGGGGACCCAAGGGGAACCATATGGAGGCAAAAATAGGTCTCCAAGATGTTCAAGGGCTTGAGAGGGAACAAACTAGAGTTATTTACACCCAACTACGTGATCAGTGCTTCCTCTCAGCAAAATCCAACCAAACCATCTTCAATAAGCTGCATGCTCTAAAGAAAGAAATCGCTGATACTAAAACAACACTACAATGCATTGCTGACATGATAAAGTTGGGGATTTTAAAAGCAGCACCCCCCTCAAATCCTCAGAATACTGAACAGAGAGGACTTCAGGCAAAAATGGAGCTAGGACAAAAGATGAAACACAAAAAGATAACTCATCAGCCTTTAAAGGTCAGAGTTACCCACAGTTATCAGGAAAAAACCCAACTCAGGACCGAATGCCCATCTCCGGGATGACCCTAAATGCCTGTGCAGACCCATATGACCAAAGTAATGACACAGAGGGACCTGACCTAACTTCATAGACGAATGGTGGGGAAACACCACAGAAGAACCCTATCCCCAGCATCCACTAGCAGTGACAGCATGCAAGGAAAAATATACAGATAGAAAACCCCCAAGGGTTAGTAGCCTCAGATAGTGAAGAATCCACCCCGGTTGAAACCCCATCATCCAAGCCTGTGAACCATATCACCATCTACAACTGGCCACTAAGAAAATCAAATGGCACCTGGGCCTCCAACTCAGAAGTATTGCAGACAATAACAGAAATTCTGGGCAAGGACTGGGATGGTCAAACAAACACAAAATGTTACTATATTTATCCCAGTAAGCCCAGGCAACTAAGAGGCAGGGTGCACATGATCTTCGCCAAAAGTAAACAGGCCCGTCATTTTTGGAGCCTGTCATACAAGTTTGAAAAAACAGCAGTATCATTCAAATAGGGAATACATACAAGCTACTCAAATATCAACCTTAGACCGACCACAAAATTGGACACCTACAAACTAACAAATTAATCCAGAGAAATTCAGGTTCCAGAACAAAGAGATGGCCCTTCAACCACTTCCATAAGGAAGATAACAACTGAGAATCCCAGCTATGACCTGTATAGATATAGGGCCTGAAGCTTCCATCATTTACAACAGTTCACCTTCCAAAACCAAACCAGATGGCAGAGGAAAGGAAACGCACACCAATTTTGCAACCTTTCCAAACAATATCCTAATTAACAAGCCCCATGATTTTACAAGCAAAATCAAAAACCAGAGTAATCAGGTGAAAAAGCTCCCAAGCCCAAGGCCTCTTTCAAAAGGTATTATATCCCCCAGAAATGACAGAATGTACCATGCATACAAAGAAAAGGTACATCCAGCCTGCTCAATTGGAACTATTTCCAACTCCACCCCCGAGTGGCTTAGGGGCAATAGATATGCCCCTTTAGTAGCTTTTCCCCAGAACTGACTACTGGAAGTCAAAAAACAAAAACATATGAAGAAGCATTCGCCCAGGAATATTGCATGGGGGGAAAACAAACAAGAAGTCCAACTTCACAAAGATCCCATAGTCCCAAACGTAACAATGACTACCTATAATCCTTTAGTAGAGAGACACAAAGAAATCAAAACAACAAAGACTGGGCCCATAAAGATTATTCTTTACCCACATCAGCTGCTCCCCTCATCTAGTGAGGATGTCAGCCACTAGATGTATATTAGCCTGCTCTGGAGAAGCTAACGATATACAAGGAAGGGAACCCCATTAAAATTCTCTCTACCACAAGAGGGGAAATGACTCCAAAGGCAGAATTGAAAGTTCAGGAACGAAACGGGGCACCAGATACTCAAGTATGGTGGTGTGTTCCAGAAAGCAACCAAAAATATGCATCTAAAGTTGAACTTTTATCATGGAATGTGGCAGGTTGGACCAGATGTATCTCCCATACCCATGATACCCCTTTCTTTTGCTGCAAATACGACCTCAATCTTTTGAAAAAAACATGGTCTGACAAAGCTATAATACTAGATGGTTTAAACTCTTTCATGGTAAGGACAATCCCAGGGCACGGACCAGGGAGACTGAAGGGTTCGGTGAGCATTCTGGTATCAACGGCTCTGAAAGTGAAATCTATGATGAACCCCCCCCCCCCTTGAGACAGCTGGCCATGGCAGTAGTACTTACAGGAAGTATGAAACCCTATTGATCATTAACATATACAGGTGTGCCTCACATTACGATTGCCCCGCATTATGACGAAATCGCATTACGATGACGTTTTTGCGATCGCTTTTGTGATTGCAAAACAATGATCTAAATGGGCTTGTTTCACTTTGCGATGATCGGTTCCCTGCTTCGGGAACCGATTCTTCGCAAAACAATGATTTTTCTACAGCTGATCGGCGGTTTCAAAATGGCTGCTGAGTAAATAAAATGGCTCCCCACCTTTTTCTGGGACGGATTCCTCGCAAGACAGCCATTGAAAATGGCCGCCCTATGGAGGATCTTCGCTGGACGGTGAGTTTCCAGCCCACTGGAACGCATTGAAGGGGTTTCAATGCGTTTCAATGGGCTTTTTATTTTTGCATTACGATGTTTTCGTTCTACAGCGATTTCGCTGGAACGAATTAACATCGTAATGCAAGGCCCCACTGTACTTACCGCCTACATCTAGCAGAAACAGAAGGAAATTGGATAGACCTTGAAAACTGTGTAAGAGAGCTTATCATGGAACATCCAGATGCTTTGGTCTTGATTGGTGGGGATCTAAATGCCCGTATGGGACCAAATGACGACTATCTGGGAACCAAATTTAAGATGATAGCCAATATAAGAAATGATAATGTGGAGAACCTGAACCAGGAGAGGTCACGAGGTCAAACGCCACAGTTATGCTTTAAGAGGCCACAACATTCTGTTGTCTTTGCCATAATACACTAACATGACTATGAATCCCTGCCTTCCTCTCCCCAATATTCATGAAACATAGCTTCAGGTTCTGGCAAAGGCAGGTGCATGCATGTGCTTACCTGCTATCACCAGCATTGGCCACGTAAAGCTTGCCTAGCAAACACACCACAATGAGGGCTGTACAACCACCAGAGATATGGTACACAGTTCTTTCTCGCTCTATCTGCAAATCCTGGGGAAGGAAAAAAGGAGGAGTGAAAATTCATTAGAATTTTAAAATGATCTATCAACAACTGATAAGAGAAAATATTGACTAAAACAAACATGCTGAAAACATGACAATAGGTTTTGTATTTCACTTGCCTTGACAGGATCATGACAATGGAGTTATACAAAAGATTTGCTCCGTAGCAGAAAGGCTTTTATATATTGTTTTAGACATGGCAGGTGATATATAGATTAATTAAATAAATACATAAATAAAAGACAACTGACTGGGGAAGGTATCACTGACATGGAAGACACAGAAGAACAAAGAAAAAGACAGCTAAACAACCATTCCCTCCTTAACAGAGCAAGTGAAAAGCTGATCTACATATGCAGGCGAATAAGGGAGACGAGCGGAAGGTACTAATTTAGACAGCAAGTGGGCAGGTGTGATATGAATAAAAGGATTCCTTGCTAATAAAAACATATGTAGTACATCAATAAGCAGAATCATTCCACCCTCCACTACCACACTCTTTGGCACCTATCTCTGCAGTCCTCCACACTTTGGGGGCTGAACACCTCCAATGGGAGCCCACTCCATTTGTTAAGGTTAGCTAATTGAAAATAAAGGTCTGCATCTTCTTAAGCTTCCACTGAGTGGAATGTCACACCAGCATAAAGACGTGGGATCATGCCAACGTGCAAGCAGTGATCTCCATGAAGAAATCCTACCCCACCCCTGTGCAATGGTCACTTCCAAAAGTAGCTCCATTCCATGTTAACTGTGTTGGCAGGACTTTCTACTCAGCAAAAAACCAACAGGATATTACTATTTAAAGTTATTTATTTAGGCGTATATTAGGACACTTTTAAATTAGGTCCTATTCCAGAAATTCACCCCCTTACCCATGGAATCAGAATCACTGCCTCCTCCATCATACTCTTTGACATCCATCTGCCCAGTCCCCCATGCCTTGGGCGCTGAATGTATGTAGCAAGGACCCTGCCCAGCTCGTACAGACTCTCGACATGACTTAATACTTAGGCAGATCAGGATTCTAAATTGCGTAAGGAATGGATACAAGAAGAAAAGATCCCAACCCCCTCAATACCAACTCAAGCAACACATTGCAGAAGTCATCCTCCCAACAGATCATAGGCTGCCAGGAAGGGCAAAAAAGATGTGATATACGAGAGCAAGTTTGTCAGTTTATTCCCGTTCTCCTTCTCATGTAATTATAATTACAGGACTTCTGAATAGGGCTGTGAAGTCTCAGGTACTTCCAGATCCTAGAAAAATCAGTCATCCTCGTGGTCCACTAACACACAGCATATTATATATAAAGGCATATGCTTCATTTTTAAAAAGCTTTTTGGTGGAACAGAGAAGGAATGCAAACTCTGTAATCCAAATACAGTATGAATGTGGAACAACAATGAAAAGAGGTGAATATATGATACCATCATAGTGGCTAAAATCCAGTTGTACTGTTACACAAAAGACGTAACTCTGTAGACATTACCTGTTGCATACTGAGTCATGGGATTCAGCATGCAACAGATCATGTCTATGTAGACTTGTTAACTTGCAGCAATTCCCCTCCAAAAGTTATACCATTTGCAGAAAAGCTCAATATAATTTCAGCTGGGGGGGGGAGGGAGAACAGTTACTTTTCAGTGAAAGAGAACCACACTTGCAGAAATAAATTAATTTCAAATTTTTCATATCCCAAAATGAAATGCTCACCAATAATCACATGGCTGCATACTGAAGCATGTGCAACCCACATCAAAACCCATAATTGATAACAACTTTGTTAGTTTTTTGTTATTTTTGCATTTTTAATTCCAATACTTTTTCTCCTGAACAGGAGAAAGTCTTGTCTCTGCATTTTTATGTAGCATACTTTACAATTAAAAACAACACTAATTCTCCTTCTCCCAAATGGGAGAACTAAATTTTTCAGAGACAAAATATTGAAATGAACAATAGACTGAAACCCACAATTCGTATTGATAACCATGCTTTAGAACAAGCATTGTGTGGGTGCTAGATTAAAAAGAGAAATGAGGAAGCTATTTTGGATGTCAGAGCAATAGGATATTTGTGCAACTCAACTCAGCAGTTCCTATAGGACTTGGCAGACTTCCCAAGTGAGCTGTAGAAGAGTATGGACTGTAATGCTTACACATCTTGTCAAGAATAACATTGCAGGCAGTTTGACATGAACAACTCAATCCCATTTGCTCTGTTAATAGTGAATGGATATCTTTGTGGTTGGCAGAGTCAAAAAAAGAGAGCTAAACTACCCTATGAGGCCATCTTCTGGCTCACCTATGAATTGCACCATACTTTCCCTTGCATTTTACAAGTCAATGCCAAAGCCTACAAGCCCAAAGCCCTCAAAGGCTAGCAGAATTCTGCTTCTGAAAGCATAAAAGTTGTAATTTTGTTCTCTGCTAGCAAGTTTATTCTTCTTGTTAAATACCATTTTGGAACACACCCCAGAAATGAGGTGCCAAATGATTTGTACAGAATTGATTAAAGTTATGGTTAAGAGGGCTTTTCCCCCTTAAAGAAACATTTGGCCATGCTCTGGGAGAAGATTTTAATTTGCTGTACAAATTAGGTGCCAAATTTTCTAATGTATGTGTTTTTATATCTAGATCATGTACATTCACAAGGAACTAGGACTGCTTTATTCAGATGGAAAGATGCTTAAGTGCATATTGTACACAGTGCAGATTACTATCTCAACCTATTTTAGAAATTGTACATATTTTACAGATACTGTATTGTTTTGTGTTGAACTTACAAACCAAGTGATGTTGCTTATTTATTTATTTAAAATATTTTACCCCACCTTTCTCCTTAAAAAGGACCCAAGACAGCTTACATAATTGAAATACAGTACAGTGGTGCCCCGCATGACGACAATAATCCGTCCCATTGAAATAGCCGTTTAGTGAAATTGTCGTCATGCGAAATCCGTTTCCCCATTGGAATGCATTGAAACTCAGTTTAATGCATTCCAATGGGGAAAATACCTTGTCGTCTAGGAAAGATCGCCCATAGGGAAGCCATTATGCGAGCACTGATCAGCTGTAAAAATGGCTGTCCTGCGAAGTATGGGTCCGGAAAACACAGGGCAGCGATTTTGCGAAGCCACCAATCAGCTGTAAAAATTGTCATTTTGTGAACGGATCGCGAAGCACGAACCCAATCAATGTCCAGCGAAAATTCCTCATTGGAATGACTGTTTTGTGATTCGCTATAGTGATTGCAAAAGTTTTGCGAATTGCTATAGTGATTGCAAAAGTCGTTACGCGGATTCGTCGTTTAGCGGGGTCGTTGTCTTGCGAGGTACCACTGTATTTAAAGCTAAAAACAGTAAGTATACAAATGCAAAAAAAGATCAAACGAATACCACATGAAAGAGTGGCAAAGAAAATCAACATCACAAACATATTCAAAGCAGTAAGGCACAACAATCCATTTAAAAATGCTACTCAGGCAGGCAGGCATTTAGAGAAAGCCTCCTTGTAGAGAAAGGTCTTTGTCTGCTTGTGGAAGGACAGCAAAGACGGAGCCAGCCTGGCATCCTGTGGGAGGGAGTTTCAGCGGAGAAAGGTCTTTGCTTGTGGAAGGACAAGCAAGCTGGCTTGTGGAGCCAGCCTGGCATTCTGGGGGACGGAGTTTCAGCATCTGGCTTAGATATCTAGCTGAGGAACCTGAGGTTGGGAGTTCAATTTCCTCACTGTGCCTCCTGAAAGAAGAGCCAGCCTGTGTAGCCATGGGTAAGCTGCACAGTCCAAGGGCACCCCAAGAAGATGGGAATGGTAAACTACTTCTGCATATTCTCCAACTAGAAGCACTGTAAAGGGTTGCCATAAGTTGGAATCAACTTGACAGAATGCAACTATTATTATTATTACTATATATTTTACAGGTACTGCATCACTTTATGATGAACTTACAAAGCATGTTATGCTTTGTATGACCTCTGATGAATTGTGCAATGTATGAAGGTAGGCAGTCAGTGCTTTGGGGAGCAGGGCAAGGTGGGGAAAAATTAATGTTCGGCAACATGTTGTTATTCTGCTAAGCATCTTGAAACTGACAGTTTTTACAAACACTGCTCTTGACCAGTAGCAGTGCTACCAATCCATCCTTGGATCAGAACCAGAGCCAAGAATACTGCAGCATGGCATGAGAATGACAGAAATCAACATGACCTTTTTGTACAAGTGGGAGCATCTTTCCACTGAAACAGGACACCTCTGGAGTCAAATTTCTCCATTTTCAAACATATCCAATCGTATGTGCTGGAATCAGACTCCCCAAAATTATTAGATTCTGCTTTCCAAACTCCTACATGCATACAGCTATGAAACCTCCTAACATTAACCAATGTAACAGATTATCAAAGATTTCCAAACATTAAAGCTGTATTTTTTTAACTATTTGGGGGGTGGGGAATCACAGGCTCTTTCAAAAATTTGATGGAAGCTATGTACACTATTACTGGATACAAACATCTTCTGAAAACCACACATGGAACTCCTAGGAGTCCACAGCTCTAAATTAAGAACTCCTGGATTAACAAATTCATTTTTATTCACTCATTTAGGGCAAGTAAAGAAAATGGAAATGGAAAAAATCTTCATGATTTCTCTCTGCTATTATATAGTCCATTTTTATTTTGGTACGTACTGTGAATTGCCAATTAAAATAAAGATCTTACACAAATGTTAATCTTACTGGACCATCAAATGCTTCTGGCCACAATTTTTTAAAAACAACTAGGTTGTTAAAAAAATGAATAGTTATAATATCAAAGATGAGAACGCCACAAAGGTTGTAACCACAGCAATGGTGAGCACTGAGATTATAAAACAATCTGATTTAATTACTAAAGGCCATTTAATGACTGAGAGGGTCCTAGAGGGAAGAATTCTGCAAAGCCTATACAGAGAGCAGCTCTTTTTCCCCCCAATATAAACTAGACCACAGTGGTCAATGCATTCTCAGTAGAGTTGTGCTAAACATTTGTGGGAATTCAAGGGATCAGGGAATGCTGTGTATACAAAAGGTCAATAGGTCAAGAAATAGAATGTTTCCTTTGAAGAGCAAAGCAATGGAAGCTTTCCCCCTAAAAATCTATAGATTCTTTGCTGCTGCAGCTGCACTTCTTGAAACAATCCAGTGGCCATGTCTTTCCCATGCCTCCTATGAAAGGCACTATCTCATGGTTTAGCACTGTTTGCTGTTTAGGGGGAGGGTGGAGGTAGAGGTGGGGGAAACTGGCTGTCTTTCCTCTATTCCTCATCAACAATGCATTCAGAACAATACTATACCAAGTATAGCTTTGTTAAGGGGAGGTACTGTCGCTCTGCTGTCTAGCCGTCCCGGAGACACCTGGCTACTCAGGTGTCTCTGGGAGGCCGTTAAGCAGCATCTGAGTACAACTGCGCCCTCTGTTTCCTGTTGTTTGGTAACTGATATGCAGAGGCATACTGGCCAGAATCCTATTGGTATTCACATATGTTTTAGTTAAAGTTATGCAAATCTTACATAAACTTCAATAAGATTTCAGCCCCTTCTCCTGAGACTGATCATGTTGTATAGCCATCCTCACTAGCAGCCACTGATAGCACTAATTCCTCTTTTTGATATGAGGATTATCTGAAATACCATCAGCGGTGTAGCAGATTTTCTTTTTTAAAAAGAGGGTGGATGGGGAAAGCTGCCATTTTCAAGGAAAACTTTCTGCCTATCTGAGAATGTCTTAATTTTATTCCCATCCCTTCTGCAAATTGGAAAAAATGCCTCCCACTTTTGTGACCTATGAAGAAGGACAACCATTTGTAAGTCTACTAATTTAGTCTTCATCCCGTGGATCCCTATACAACCCCTGCGTGGCAGTTAGGGTGGGTGGGTGACAAAAGTTTGCAGACACTTTGTATTGCCAATAATTTCCTTTGCCAAGAAATGCTCCAACCCTGAGAATGGCTTTGGAGTGGCGAATTTGCACCATCAGATTCCTGCATCCTTCTTCCATTCTCTGGCTGATGTATTTTAAAAAAAGGAAGCTGCCATGGTGCTTCCTAAGAAGTATGGTCTTGCTACTCATTGAGTTCTATAGTGAGCTCCTCCCAAATATTATGCCTCCCAGGAAGGCTGCAGGAACCTAAATCACCCCACAACCCTTTTCTGTGAGAGGCAAAACTGACAGGTGTGCTGATTTCAGTTTCTTAGCTGCAATTCCCAGAATTTTTGGAGAACTCTGGGAATCAAAATCCAAAAATCAAATCAAGAAAACACAACCCTGACATCAGGATATTAATTCTCCTTTTGTTGAGGCCAGGTTATCCACATAAAAATGTGAGGATCCTACTCATAAGGTCACCAGATACAGTAAAATATACCCACCATTTCCCTGAATGCTGTCTCAATAGCTCCTATAATGAGGCATTCATGAGAGATCTTCTTCTCTGTAAAGAAGCGAGTTGGTGGGGTGCCAGGTGAACCTGGGGCTCCCGCATTCCCACGTAAGGAGGCTGCCCTGGTTAGAGTTCTGCTGTTGGTATTCATGCTTTCTGGCTCCTCCCCCAGGCAGGTTGGAGGAGGGATAGCAGAGTTTTTCAGGATATCCACAATCTCCTGTAGCTGTTCCACAACATGGTGCTGAAGGAGCTTTGAAGCTACAACGGCTGCCCCAGATCCAGCATGCCCATCGAATAATGACCAGTAGTGGAAAGTGATGCCATCTGAGTCCTGGTTAAAGGAAGTATAAATATAACACAATGTAAGTGTCAACAGGAGTGGGAGCAGGTCAATCACAAAAGGGAAAAGGGCAAGTATAGGGTTCCTACTTATAGTAACCTAAGGTTACTGTGTGAGGAAGGAGAGATAGTAGCACAGATCATGTTTTAATGCTGCTTTAAAGCAAAGGATTTAAGTGGGTCATAATTAATTTAGCTCACTGATTTCGGTGGGTCTTCTCTAAGTAGAACCAAGTCTGTTTACAGCCCTATGGTCCTATAATCCAAAGCCCTCCCATTTTTGAACACTCCGCCCTGCCAAAAAGGTTTTCGAGTATGTCATTTCTAAAGGTAGCATAGTTTATTTTCTCTCCCATTAGATTCAATGGAAGGAGAAGAGAAATGGAAAGAAAAGGGAAGAACCAGCACAAATTGTTCCCCTTACCTCCCAGTCTAGCCACTGAGAATCAGCAGGGCTTGGAATATACTAGCTGATCTCCCATACGTCTCTCCCTTTACAGGGAAACTCACTCTATGAGGGAGCATTTCAAAGATTCTAGTGTGCAGGTGTCCTGCTGGGGCAATGCCCCTAAATGAGTACAATGCTTGGCTTTTAGCCATTTTCACTAATAGGTTTTAACAGCTGCAACAACATCAGAGCAAGACACACATCCTGAAGCCTCTCTCTTTTTTACTGCCTCATATTAACATGGTACACAGGAAGGTCAAGATTATCGATTTTACAGTGGAGAAAAAATTAATGCATACTGAAGGGAGAAAAAAAGAATACTAAATTCCCTATGGTACCTACCATGCTGTAATAGTAGAAATACATAGTCTCATGGGTAACTAGGCATTTAATGGCGGGGGAGGGTTCATCTAGTTTCCTGATTCCTGCCTGGCAGACCAGACTGAAAAATGAAAAGCCTGAATTCTCAAGTAGAGAGCTTTTCCCTGAAAATAAGACCTAAGCTGAAAATAAGCCCTAGTATGATTTTTCATGATGCTTGTAATATAAGCCCTACCCCAAAAATAAGCCCTAATCGAGTGAAAACCCGCCCTCCACCATTGTGCAGCAACCAGAAGACAATGACATGACTGTATTTGAATAAATGTAGACTGCTGTACTGTACAGGGTGGGGGGAGCCATCCCCTGAAAATAAGCCCTAATGTGTTTTTTGGAGGAAATTTTAATATAAGACCCTGTCTTATTTTAAGAGAAACATAATAGCAAGGTCTTCATAGCAACATTTCCCCTGCTTTTGGAGAATATATTCTTGGCAGGATGAGAGTCAGTAAACCACAGAATATATCTTGAAACAGATTTCAATCATATACTAAATCAATAAATGGCTCTTCAAATGAGACAAAAAGAATGTTGGTGAAGAAGCAGAAAAACAGTAAAGTGCAAGGTAGCTTTGCAAAGGAGCATTTTGAGAAGGAACCAACAATCTCTACTGACAGGAGAGGAAGCAGTATCTTACTGAATTCTCTTTTAGCTGCAGCCCTTCCCCATTTGGCAATGAAGATCTTCGTTTGGCAGAGTTTTTGTTTGGTGTGGAATTACTTCCCCCTGATTTCTTCTTTACAGTAAGCACCTCACAACTGGCTTGGTCTTCATTGTGTGTACTTTTCCCTGCATTGATCACTCTGTTAAGAAAGCAAACAAAAAAGGCACTCCTTAGAAACATATTTTGTTCATACAACTGTTTGTTTTAGGAGTTTAAATGACATCCTTCAATGAAATTCCTATCACTAATTATAAAAATTTTAACATCCAACAAAATTATTTTTTAAAAACTATGGTATACAGTATAAAAATGTAGAAGATACAATATCCCAGACAAAGCAAAATGATGTTATTTGACAATATGTATAAGTTTCTATTTGAATGTACCCATGTTACAGTACTGCAGAAATCAGTGTGAGGAATGGATGGCTTGGTCATGGCTTGAAATCAGCTGGCAGGTCCAAACACAAGCAACTGGCTTTTCTTTAGAAACAGAATGTCGTTTGCAAAGAGCACTTCAATCCAACACTTTTGAAGGGCAATACCCAAAACAGGGTTCCCTCTATCTAACAAAAGACTGCCAGTGTATGGAAAGGTTGCCAAAAATATAGGCTACTGGTGGCGAACTTAAACCCATTTAGGCACAAGCTTTGGGTATGACAACTTTAAAGGAAAATTTGTTCACACAATCAGAAATACACAGGCAAAAAATAGTTTTTTTCCTGGATTTTAAAAAAATATTTTATAATATTTTCAGACCATGGATAAGTGAATCAGTGGATACTGATCCATAGATAAGGGAGTCCGTATCTTTTCCACATCATGAATTATTTTTACACCTCTAATACATTTCTCCTTATTCACAGCGGTCAGTATCCTACTGACAATTTATATGTGTGCACATGAAATCATGTATGTTTCAGTGGCAAATAGCTGCTAATTAACATGATGCCAGCTACACTGCTTGTTCAGAGCCCATTGCACCACCACATGGGCAACCACACATGCATTTAACACTTTATTAGCAGCATGTGCAATCATACGACACCATGATTGACACTCACTCACAGCTCCTGACACTCAAACATTTCCTCATACAGAGTTGCTCCTACACCTTGATTATCTGAATTGCTCTCCTCTTCGCCTTATGCAGCTCTACAATATCCTTTCTGCCTTCCTAGCGAAAGATAAGCAAATGCTAGAACTATGAGAAAATGGAAAAATCTTATCTAGGTGCTACTTTAGTAATACCTGACTAATCCCAAAAGAAAAAACATTTTAAAGAAATCTGCTGTGAACTCTCAATTCACACAAAAGGAAGCAAAATGTTTGTGCTTTACCATAAAGACTTCTGGAAGGAAAGTCTGAAAAACCAAGCTTTCAATTTCTACCTGAAGATTTTTACAATGAAACTGCATTTCTCCACAATCTTTTTTTTTACCAAGAAGTTTTGTCCATGTACTAACTATCGTATTTTTCCATGTATAAGATGTCCTATAAAACACTTTTTTACCAAGAAGTTTTGTCCATGTACTTAACTATCGTATTTTTCCATGTATAATATGCCCTATAAAACACCCTCCCACTTTTCTAATGCAAAATTAAGAAATCTAAGCGGGGCTTAGCAAGTGGAGGGGGAAGCGCTTTGATTCCTACCTTCCCCCTCCACTTTCTTCCTCCTCCTTACTTCTGTATATAGTATTAAATGACCCTCAATTTTTAATCTAAAGATTTTAGACAAAAGTATCATCTTATACACAGAAAAATACGGTAGATTGTGTGGAAACCCTGAAAGACAGAAAGGCTCTCCCAAAGAGAAGGAGTGTATTACCAACCTTCAGCTAAATACATGAAATCCACACTGTATACAGCCAATAGCTCATTAGCTGAGCAACCTGTCCATCAACAATGGTGGCACATCTGTTGAAGTAAGGCTCACAAACAATACATAATCCTGCTCTTAATCCTCAACATATGGTAGACAGAGATAACTGATCTATGAAATTTGAGGTTGCAATTTAGCTATCATGCCTACTGAATGCCAAAAGGCATATTCGTATATTCTAATCTACTTATTTGGAAAAAAATTTACCATATAGAACAGAAACTGCGATGGCAACAGCTACTGGAAGTGCATTTTCACTACAAGGTTAGTTTGCATCTGTGATCCTAGTCTAGAAATGGTTTTTCTTACATATAGTTAATGACATTCAATCATACAACAATTTATAACTAGAGAAGAGGAGGAGGAACGAACAGAAAAGCCACTGTACCCCCTAAGAAGAATTTTAGGAAGTACTAGACACATCTGTGGCCTTGTACCATTAAACAAAACTTAAAATGCCCCTCAATTTCACCATAAATGTAAAGATTTCAGCTTCCTATCACCTATGGTCCTTTGTGAAATAAAATACCTCAATGTATGTCAAGCAGTAGAGAAGACATAAAATTGAAAAGCCCTTGGGATGGATGGGCTCCATAACTTTTGGCAGAAAAAATTAAATTCAATCTACTTACAACTGTCTAGATGTTTTTAATGACGCTGTAGATCTAATTCTACAGTTCTTCACACAAGGAATAACCTATCTCCTTTATGAATCTGGAAACTGTTCTGATTCTAAAAATTATCAAGCTATCACCTCTTTACCCACAGTTTACAAGTTATTTACAACAATTATCTCATTCTCTTTTTTTACTTTTTTCAAATGCAATTGGGGCTGCATTAAGAAATTCAAGGAATTGCTCACTACTGAGTCATTTATATTGAATCAGGTTCAAAAGAAGTCCAGAAATTTATTAGTTGCTTATATTGATTTCAAAAGGCATATGATTCTGTGTCACATTCATGACTTCTTGAGATTCTGAGGATTTACAGAATTGATAATAGAACTACAGTATTATTTTGTTATTTAAGTCTATGACAAAGTAGAAGACAAAATTAAGATGAAGCGACCTCTTCTCTAATAATATCCCTATCAGAAGAGGTATTTTTCAAGGTGCTGTTTTGAGCTCTTTGTGGTTCTGTCTATTTTTGAACTCCCTATCTAAACAGCTGAGTGCTAAAAGCTAAAAGCCTGATTACTGGACAAATAATCTCAGTGTTTCACACTGAAAATAAATGGACAATACAGTATTAATTGTTTTGCAAGATCTTCTGAACAATCTCTTAAACATTAAGTCTTACAGTACAAATACCAACATGAAGTTTAATGCTGATAAATGAGCTGTTATTCACATGAAAAGAGGATACTGTATTCTCAGAGGACAATAACTACAACCTCACTAATGAACAGGGCTTGAAAAATTTTAGAATGTCTCACCAGTCAGTCAAAAATTTCACCAGTCAGCATGATCAGACCATAGCCTCGCAATTTATGTTTAAACTTAAATTTGAATTTAAACTAGGCACTTTCTACATATCAAAGACGCACAGCACAGGGATGCATAGCTTAAGAAACAGTTCCGTAGACCAGTGGTCCCCAACGTTTTTGCCTCCACAGACCAGTATAGCATGTGGAGGGCTTCTGTGGGAGGGGCCATGTGTGCATCCGAGGGGCCATGTGTGTGTCCGTGCATGAGTGGGAGGGGCCATTCATGTGTCTGTGCATTAGCGGGAGGGACTGTGTGCGTGGGAGGAGCTGTGTGTGCATCCGTGTGTGCATAAGAGGGGCTGTGTGTGTCTGTGCATGGATGGGAGGGACTGCATATGCGTCACTGCGTGCATGGGAAGCGTGTGAATGCATCTGGGTATGCAGGGGCAGGAGATCTGTTGCCGCAGCCCAGTCCTGGCAAGGCCATGGACCAGAACCAGTCCATGGACTGGGGGTTGGGGACCCCTGATGTAGACAGCACCCCAGGTACTTCCCGGATAATAATGTTAATAAGCAACAATGAAACCTGTGGCTTAAATTAGGTTATCTTATGATTGAAACGGAGGTATCCATATGTACAGTTCAAGATCACGTCACCTGCACTAGATGCTTTCAAAAAATAATTATGAAGCAAGAGTAAGTGATATGTGTACAGCCTGAACAAATCCAAAAACTTCATTCATCATATAGCTGAATGCCCTAAACTAGCATTAATTAATTATATGTACAAACATCATCAAACTGCAGAGATAGTTTTTCAGAAGTTGGCCAAATCTTACAGAATACTCACATCTTTTCTTCCATGATATAAACTCCAGCCACTCCCAGTTTTAGAAAATGAAAACAATACTATACTGGAATAAGCAAGTTATCACGGATAAACAGTTAATTTTAATAAGCCAGATATTATACTTCTGGACAAGCAACAACAAAAAATCCATACCTAGTAGAAGATGGATTTCCAACAAGAAGCAACTTCAAAAGTACAGAAATTGCAAAGAACCAAACATTCCAGCAAGAAATTAAAAGAATATGGAAACCAGATCAGGCTGTCCTTCTCACCATACCAATTTCAGCAACTGGAGTTGTTCCAAAATATTTTTAAAAACTTGCCAATATCTGCTAACGCTTCCTGAAATTAAAAAAATCAGTGATTTTTCAAAAATGTCATCTCACCTGCAAATATTAGGATTTGACTCCTAATTTTTACGCTTGGCTCTTTGGTCTACAGTCATGCACGAGCAATGATGAAAAATAAGAAGTGCAATAAAATGATGACGACGACAACGATGTGTCGTCAAGTCAATTCCAATTAATAGCAATTCTTCTAGAATTTTCTAGGTATACAGTATGCAGTATCCCTTTTTCTGAGGGCACTCTGGGGCTGTGCAACTAGCTCAAGGTTGTATGAGGCTAGCTTTTAATCCCATGAGACACAGTGGAGAATCAAACTCTCTACCTATGGCTCCACAACTAGATACACAGCTCACTGAACTATTCAGACAACTAATTAGTACAAACACAGTAACAAATAAATTATGAACTTGTTCCCTCGTGTCAGCGTGCTTTACCTACATCCATGTGTAATGCTAAACCAGAATTCTGGAGAACCCTAATTTGTAATTCACAAACAATGTCTTTCACACCAACCAAGAAGTCTGATTTAGCTTTTTCCACTAGTAAGAGTGGATAAAATACAGGAATTAATTATGAATTGGAACCTTAGAGTCATAACAGAACTAAACATCTGGTTTGTCACTTCAAATATA